CAGTAGTTCAATTTTTACTGGAGGGCTAATAATTTTGCTGTGTATGCATTGTAACAAATGCTGGGTTTCATATACTCTGTGTGAAGACAACATGAAGAAATTAAGTTAGCTTATTAGTTTTCACAAATTTAAGTGGATTGAACATAAAACAATTAAGTTGTCCCAAAATCACCTCAAAATGTTAGTTTGTTTTGTTCAAAAAGTGTTTCAGCTCATTTTAAATAAGTAGTTTGAACAAACAACTCTATTTTTAGAGTGTACACTACCCTTATATAATATTCTACCTTGAATATTTCTGCCAACCATCAAACTAAAGTAGGCAATAATAATTATTTTTTTGTTAAGTTTAGTTTTGTGTTTAGATTATAGCAAATTTAAATACAATCGAATAATTGGGCATTTGTGATGTTAACATTTAAATTAAAATTGTTATTATAATAATTTAATATTGTATTTATTTATTTATTTATTTTAATGAACTTTCTATTTGTGTTTGCTTATGGGTATGTATTTCCAGATGCAGTTTGCTTTTTACTTATTTTTTTCATCATTCGAAGTTTTCTTTCTCTGCTTTCCTCGTCTTTTCTTTCTTTGCCTTTGCTCTTTTCATTTTGCTTTCCTTTCATTTAGTTTCCTTTTCTTTCCACTCAGGAACAACTGAGAAAATAAAATAAAGACAACACTAATCACACCAGTAATAAGCAACAGTTTGAGCGCTATGAAATAGAATTATTATTTTAAATATGTTATTAACAGCAATGTGTTAGCACATATTTGTCATTTTTTGAGGAGTAAAAGATGCTTTTGTCCACATAATGGCGTCATTGCAGCGTCTCCCATCAGCGGGACCGTGCTAGCCAAACTAACCCCGTTGACCCTCTGGAGAAAAAGCTGTTTAAAGAGATTTGAAGTGGGATGCATAGATGACATAATGAAGTGAGGGATGAAGATTTAGAGAGAGACAGCTCTAAAAATGAAGGGAAAGGAATAAAGAGGGAGAAAACACATGCTGCTATTTCTCCGTCATTGGAAACAGATGGAGCTCTGGGACGCCACTCCGCTCAGAGCAGGGTGAGGCTGTTTCCTCTAATATATATTGTCCATTCTTATGACATCATCACAGACACGCCCATATGAAACATGAATCTTCTCAAAGTGTTCCTGGTTGAATATGTCAGGTGCTACATATTTTTAGTACTTGTGCAAAACATAATGTCTGCATAAACATCTGACATCCAAGCAATGAGGACATTGTGGTTGAGTTTCATTTTTGAAGTGAATGTACAGAGCAATTTTGGCAATGTGCTATGTTTTTGCACAAAATATAATTTCGGTCAAACTGTGTACAAATGTCAGTTGAAAACAAGGGTTTGTTCCTGTGCTTCATACTCTGAACTTCTGTTTTGGCTTCTGTCATGGTCTGTTTTGAGGACGTTTTGGGTATTTTTCTGGACTCTGGACCGTATGGAGATTGATGGAGCTCTCAGATTTCATCTAAAATAACTTTAATTTGTATTCCGAAGACAAATAAAGGTCTCATGGGTTTGGAACAACATGAGGATGCGTAATTAACTACAGGATTTAAATCTTTTGGGTGAACTAAACCTTTAAGTGGACTGGTATTGTTGTGAGAGGTCAGTGTTTGTGTCGGTCTGTATGTGGGGTGTGTTTTGTTTCCATCTTCCTGTGCTGAAGGTTTGGCGTCTGCTGACGGTGTTCTCTGCGTGTTGTCAGCTGATGCTGAGAGGGAGCTTTTACTCTTCCTTTTCCCCTTCAATCGGCATTCTTTCTAAGTGTTTATAAAAGCACATAATTACACCAATGTGTCGCATTTTATGGAAAGTAATGGCTCTAAATTTGCAGTTGCATTAAAAATACGAGAGTTTGAGGGAATGTTTTTTTTTTTTATGCCATTTTTGTGAAAGTTTGTTAAACCTTTCAGAATATCGAGACTAACATTTCTGCAGCACTACCACAGCGTAATAAATGGAAGTGGTTAAATGGATGACAAAACTTTTCGGATTTGTGTGAAAGAAATTCATTTTTTTTTCCCAGTATGACGTTTGTGTTCGTCAAACAAATTTTGTGTTTGTAAATGTACATGTGCAAATACCCTGGTCACTCTTTTCCATGTACTGAAATTGAATCAGAACTCTGGCTGTCACGCTTATTGCAAAAAAAAAAAAAAAAAAAGCAAAATGTCAGACCATATGACTCATGCTCTACAATAATTTGATCTGTTCCTCACCTCAAGCTTGTTGTATGACTTATAAAACTTGTATAAAGTGCATGATTGGTCGGACGGACCACTTTTGGAGACAATATTTATTAAACTTGTTTTGCATGAAAGTAATTATTTAACCCATACATTGCACTTATTTGCTGTTTCTTCTCGTCTCTTCTCGTGTTTTAGCCACTCATTCTGTGTTTGTGTATTTCATATTTTCCCACATTCATATGAGTCAGTGACACCTACAGTCTCTTTTGTGAGCTTTCAAACTCTCTTGTCCATGCTCTCTTTCTCTGGGCAGCTGCGTTTATCCCATTTACTGTTTTTATGTTCCTCTTTTGTCCGTCTCCGCCTCAGTCTCTTTCCCTTCCTTTTGTCCAGCTGCTTTCTGTTTGCAGCCTCTTTGCTTGGCCAGTTTTTCATCATTTCTTTCTTTCCTTCCTTTTGTCACGCTTCTGCCCTTTCTGTGCCTCATCTCTTCTGTCTCTCTCATTCCCAGGGAAAAACCAGCCTCATTCTTATGAGGTTTTTTGTGTTTGTCCATGGACCTACCGATAATATTTGAGTAATTACATTGGTTAACCACAGGTGGTCACTGGTTTCCATATTTCCTGGGTTTCTAAGCTATCGAATACCCTGTAGATGGATGCGGGAAACAAATGTGAACTTTTTACCACACCTGCAAATAGCAGGTGATCTGGCTGTTACTTACAAAAATACATTTCTTACTGGCATAAATGTTTTATCCTTTCATGTATTAATTGATTACACATTTTCTAGAAGGAAAAAAACGCTGTAATTTAGATTACATTTTAGATGTAAATAATTTTATGAACTACACATCTGTGAGATCTAATAGTTTTCTGAGTGAGTGATTCTGCACTAATGCATAATAAAAAATAACAACAGATTATTTAAAAAAAACTTTAGTACCGGTCTCAGCTGTTTTGTGGTGTGTGCCATTATATTAGATCCATGCATAATCTTTCAATCTTAAATTTACGTCTTTGACGTTAATGTTGATTGTACATCAAAAGATAAGAGGAAATGACCGAATTATAATAAAGAAAGCATTAATTATATATATATATATATATATATATATATATATATATATATATATATATATATATATATATATATATATATATATATACAAGCAATATCACACGGGGAGCAATGCGATTATGGCTGGTGGGTGGTGTGCATTGGCATGAGGGTGCTGGCCGAGCGCATCAGTTTCCCACCCTTGACGATATACAGCCACATCGCACTGCTACGAGTGTGATATTGCATTTATACAACAGTTTGACGACATAATCGTGAATGTAAAAAAGAAAATCTTACACAGAGAGTCTAAAAACCCTTTTATAATAGGAACTTCTTTCTTTCACCATTCGTTCACATCTGCAGGTGACATCTGAATGGCAGAAGCTGTTGCTACTTCACCAACGTCACTTTAGAGCTATTATTTGAAAGATTCTCTAGCATAATGTCTAAAGTGATGGCAAAACGGGTGATTTTGTTTTCATTTTAAGATTATAAGGCTGAACGGCATAAAATGCCATCAGTCTACAGAGATTTCCCAGTATTTCTCTGTTGCAATCAGGATTTCACAATAATTAACCCTGAAAAAGCCAAAAGCAGCACAAACACCTCTAGATTACCGTACTGTTTGTCATAAGGAAAAACACTAAACACGTGGGCATTTCTTCTTTCAGTTTACTGAACCAGTCTGCAATAACAAAACAGGAGAGCCATTACAAACAAACTGATTGCAAACAAAAAAGTAACTCATAGTTGTACAAAGAGTGGCCAACACAAAATACATGCATTCCTGACATGCAAGTCCCATCTCACACTCAATACACTACAATTACTATGATATAAATACAGAACTACAACATACAAAAAAGAGATCGACTTAGAATGTCACTCACTAATTTTATAATGTTTTGATCACGCCGATCTTTTCTCCTTCAAGGGCTTATTATGCGGTCTCTGTCGCCATCTTGTGGATGGACAACGTCAATAGTCTATGCTCTGCCGTATCTCCAAAATGATAGATATTTAAAATAGGCACTATCCTTATAAATAAAATGCATAAATGCAATCTTTAGTGTATTGATTTTCTGTCACTCTATGTGAGCGGAGTAATACTGAACGATGAGGCTGTACGAGTTCTGATACTGCAGAATATCGCACAGCTACCAGCCAATCAGATTCGAGAACCAGACAGAACTGTTGTATATATTATCCTGATGGAAATGCGGCACAATATAGAGAAAAATAGTTTTACATTAAATTATTCAGATTTTTACTTTCAAATATACAATTTATTTGTTTATTTATTTTCTTTTCTTTTTTTTTCTTCTTTTTTTTGAAAATGGCCTATCCTATTGCCTTATTTCAGGGTGTCACTTTGTCACTGTGAATGAAAGAAAAAAATTCATAGTCTATTGGACTCCACGTTCAAGAACATTATGAACTAGCCTTAGTTTTAAATACAAAGTCTTTCTAGTTTACTCTGATTTGATTACATTGCTTTTAAATTTTAGCAACATGAAAATCATCTGCAGAGATGTCTTGAAGAAACCATTTCTAACATGGCCCTTTTGTTCTCTCTTTTTTCTCATTACAGAGTCTTCAAGAAGTCCAGCCCCAACTGCAAGGTAAGATTCCCTAAGGGGCTTCACATGGGTGAGGGTGGGATCTTAACTGTCTCTCTGGACCTTTATCTTTCCTCACTCCGTCTCTCACTTCTCCCTCATTTTCTATCCATCTCTCTTGCCGCTTCTCTCTGTTCACTTGTTTAAGGTGCTCTGAAGGATTTCTTAATTCCTTTTTCCTTTACACCTTTTTCTCGTTCCACCTTTATCAGTTATCACAGCATTATTTTCTCTATAATCTCTTTCTCTCTGCGTGCGTTTGGGCTGTTATCCCTCATCTCATTTCTTTGCCTGTCTGTAATGGAGTGCTCTGTGCATGTGGAAGATGTGTGTTTGGACATCCCGTCATCCAGAAGGATTGTCTTCAGGAAGGGAGTCGATCATCTCGGGGTCAGATTGTCATGCCTTCGGGCTGTTTGTTAAATAGGTTGTGCGTGCGAGTTTCTCTGTGGTGGTGCCGCCGCATGCTTTGTGTGTTATCTCTTGGGTTTTTGTGTAGCAAGTTTAAACTTGTTTTCTTTTCCCAAACACGTCTCTGATTTTTCTCTTTCTAGCTCACGGTATACTTGGGGAAGAGGGACTTTGTGGATCATCTAGATCACGTGGACCCTGTAGGTGAGTCAGATGATCAAAACAACCTGCCGGTTTTTTGGTTGAACCAGTCGACCTCCTTTTATGCTCTGGTAACATCATTTTAGTTCTTGTTGGAGAATTGGAACTGGTTTTGATGGATATACAAGTAAAGTCAAAATTATTAGCCCTCATGTGAATTTGTTTAACAAATATTTCAATTATTGAAATACAAGGAATTTTCACAGTATTTACTATAATATTTTTTCTTATGTAGAAAGTCTTATTTGCTTTATTTTTGCTAGAATAAATGCAGGTTTAAGGTCAATATTATTAGCCCCCTTTAAGCATTATTAGTTATCGATTGTCTACTGTAAAAAAAAAAAAAAAAAGCACAAATAACAGGGCATGTCAAAACTTTTCCAGGCACAATAAAACCCTCAAGAGGGTTCAAAGTCTCAAAGGCCCATGAATCGGTGCGAGTGTCCCGCAGCGAAAGAGGGAAGGGTTTGCATAAAAATAGAAGTTTCAGTTTGAATATGCGCTGATTTTCACAGAAGCAAAACCACACACAAACGGAGGGGAGAAAGACACTGACTATGTTTTCATGGGCATCAGTAATTGAATTATTTGCCAAATTCTTCATTTGTCAACATTAACTGCACTTTAGCACTTTCAATTAATTCAGGAACATTTCATGCATGCCCCCTATGACAAACGAGATATTGGATGTAAGGAACTGCTGGAAGAGTTTAATTTTAATGGAATGTTTGATACCGCAAGCCGTATGAGAGAAAAAAAATTCTGCATTTCTCTGTAACTTGTATTTTTCGGTAGTTAGTGTCAGAAAGCTGTGTGTGTATCCTGTCACAAAATCCGGCGAAAATCCTACACAACGGTTATAGTTTGATTAAGGTGTTCACATTCGAAGAGCAGCACTTACAGTGCAACTTTCAGTCCATAATATTGTAGTGATGTTAACGTACTGTAAACTTAGTACCTAAATTATTTTGACTAAGGTATGGCTTTAAAAACTGCAGGAGTACTGCTGACGATATTAACTTTGCCATCTGAATAAACATAAACAAAGAACACTGATCACACACTTACCAAATCTGTGGAGACGGGACAATCAACAACAACTGGAACTGCATCATTTTAAAAAATAAAAAAGAAGACGAGTGGTGAATCTGGATTTCACAGTTTCCAGATGTGAAAACCTCTCAGGTAAAAAATGTTCCTTACAAGTGTATTTTTTGCATGTTAGCAGACCACTGTAATCCACACGTGAGTCCAGCTGTGCTCTCATAGCAGGGAACTGAAAACAAAACCTTTGTTGCAGCACATTTATAAACGCAACACTGACGACCCATGTCTTCAAACAATTATTTTTCTTTTACTTGTTTTAATTATGGTTAGCAACACAACGTGGCGTCTCTCTGCTGTCTGAACCCTGTAACACGTAAAAACAGTTTTCGAAGCTATCATGCATATTAATAAAGTTCCACCTCATATACGATAGAGTGTGCTGAGTGTGTTCGAATCAAGTCATTCTCGTGAATTAATGCTGAAAGCTCAAAGACATCACATTGTACCCGCCGGTACAGACATCTAGTCTACACGATGAAATTCACACAAGGATCTAATCGCCATGATGTAGTTTCAAAGTTTATTTTCAAACCAGAAGAACAAATTTGCTCGAATTAAAGCAAAAACAACCAATACTCACTTTTTTCCCCCGAAATGTATGTGTCCTAATAGTGTTTTTAGCAGCGTGGGATATATACATGACAGTCAACATCTTTGAAAATGTGTTTTGGTGTTTCGTGACCCTTTAAAGTTGATTTAATGGAACTTTGGTTTGGGTTAATTAGCGGGTAAGTATTTTTTTTTTGGGGGGGGGGGGGGGGGGGGGGGGTGAACTATTCCTGTTAAGATTTCTGCTTACATGCTATAATACTGTAGTAATTATGATCTGACTGAGATTTCTGGTTTCTGCTGTTCATTTCCTCCCTGTTGACTGAATGTCTCTCGGTCTGTTGCGTGGCAGCCGGTCACAGGAGACGTCAGTCTAGAAGATATACTGTAGATGTTTCACTCATTATGTTTTTGCAGGGGGATTAGCTCTGTCAGTAGTATTGCATATTGTAATGGAAATCTTATACAAGATAACTCTTCAAATGCCTAACTAATAGCCTTTGTGACTTTATAATCTCCTGGAGTATCTTTCTAAACCTCTGTGCAGGGTGAAGACTAAGGCCTACATTATGCCAATCATTCAAAAGATTTCAAATTGAGTAAAACTAATACTGTGAAATATTAGTAGAGTTAAAAATATTTTCTCATTATCAATATTGAACATGTTGGAGTGCTCAATGTAGACCTGTCACAACAATCAATATTGACTTATCGCACAACACATGGACATGATGCGATTTTTGGTGATGTGATATATATCCCTCGTACAGAAAAACCAATTCTAGCAACATTTTAGCTAATTGCGCAACATCTCTATCTCTATTGGAGGTGTCAGCATCAGTGTGGTTAAAAACATTATAGTATTTATTATAAATTACTGTATGTTTTCATGTGGATGCCTGACAACTGAAAATAGATCTGGCAGTAGATATCGCAGCCTTTGTTACTTTTTACCTTGCACTTTTTCTTAACATTTATTATTATTTGTTTAGGATATGTATTTTCGCTCTGGTTTACCCCACAGTCCAAAGACGTGGTACAGGTGAATTGGGTAGGCTAAAATGTCCGTAATGAATGAGTGTGTGTGGATGTTTCCCAGAGATGGGTTGCAGCTGGAAGGGCATTCACTGTATAAAACATGTGCTGGATAAGTTGGCAGTTCATTTCTCTGTGGCGACCCCAGATTAATAAAGGGAAGCTGAAAAGAAAATGAATGAATGATATGTATTTTCACATTCCGATTCCAATGACTAATGAAATTGTTAAAATGACTATATTTAAATGAAATATTCTTAATAATAAAATATGTTTTCTTTAAAAGAGTGTACTTGCGTTGTAATGATATTGTTTTGTCATTCTAGGATTGTATGAGTGGCATAAAATTGTCTTAAATGACAATACTATCGTTTTTTTCGTTTATGTTTTTGTGCACATTATCGAACAACAAAAAATATGTTTTGAAAGGCCTAGCTCAATGTTTTTGTGGAAAAATAATATTTGATTTCAAAATTGTTGAATTTTTTTTTTAATCATATCAAAAGTTTAATAACCATGTTGTTTTTAAATGTATTTTGTGACATTTTTAATTATTTTACTGTCACTTTTAATCAGTTTTATTGCTTCTTTGTTAAAAAAAGTATGAATAAAAAAATAATAACTGACCCAAAATTTTGAATATGTACAGTTTTACTTTGTTTTGTTAAATTTTTTTACTGCTTTAGTAGAAAGAGATATTCACCTAATTTTGTTTATCTTTTTCTAAACCTATTAGAGTTTCTTTTTACTGTTGAGCACAAACAAATATAATTGCAAAATGCTTGAAACTTTGACATTCATAGAATTTGAATTGTTTTATATTTCTGTGGATCTCAAAGGCTACCCGTGTTCAACAGAAAAGAAACTCATAAAACTTTGAAATAACTGAAGAGTGAATTAATAGTGAATAAATGTATTTTTGGGCAAGCTATCCTTTACAATGAATGACTTGATATGCTGATTAATTACAAAAAATGGTTGCATCTTTCATGCATGTGCATGCTAAAAATAATTGCATTCCTCCCCCAAACAAAAATGTTGTAAAACCTTATTGTGGAAAATGAGTAAATCATTAAATTGACTTTCCTAAAAGTGGCTTTAGAGGTCAGTATAATGTTTGCTTTATTGGCAAATCATTGAACACAGGCCTATCACTTGCACGGAAATCCATTTTGCAGTTGAGGTCATTTGAAGCTACTCAAACCCAATGTGCTCATTTAAAGTCTTTATGTAATTATATTGATTTGATTCATGAGTTAAAAACTACAAAATAAGTTAGCTGTTTGTATTTATTGCATAACAATTATTTTTAGTTTTTGACAAAGTATTCATTTATTTAATCACATACTAAATGAATATTTTTAAATTCATTTTTTTTAAGTATTATATGCTAGGAATTCCTGCAGGTTTTCTCCAGGGCGGTCATGGATTTTCTGAAATGTCATTGAAAATCAGGTTCTTTTTTGGACATTGAAAGTCAAACATTTTTATATTAAGTTTTTGTCCAAGTCATGAAATATCAGGCTATTCTGTTTTTCATTTTAAAATGTTACCTTCTTTTTATAAAAAAAAATCTTATCATCACAAAATGACTGATTTGGCAGCAAATTCTAGAAACTTACAACAATATTTGCAGCATTTCTGTGTTGTTCTGCAGTGTAAATAAACACAAATTTACAAATCTTAGTTCTTTATGACTTTTTTTTGACCTCAAGAACCATTAGTCTTCGTCATTTATATTAAGGGAACAACTCTTTTAAAAAGATTTACCTCTTAACCATATAAAGCCTACCTGACTCATATAAAGCCTACCTGACTCATATAAAGCCTACTTGACTCATCTAAATGATAAAGACAATCAACTGTTAAAATCTCTTCAACAACATTCGAAAAATCATGTTAAAAATGTAAATTTTTGTGTTTGACTTAACAAACGTAGCCTTGTTCGAATAGGCTTAGGCTGAATTTGCTTTGCAAATAATGTCACATGACGCATCTAAAGCGAGTCACACACTGCTGTGCCTTGTCTATGACAACTCGAGGTATCGCACACCCGATGAGCACTATCTGTAAGCAAATATAATGTTATTTAATATAAAAGAGTGCAGATAGCGCAGAGGGAATTTGAACAGTGCAATTAATCTACGACAATAAAAAAAATCACAAGCTTCCCTTAATACTGTGCCAGTTGCTTCATTTTGCACTGAATTCAGCTTTTTAGACATTGAACATCAGGGAAAAGACGGGGAGGGAAGTGAGTGGGAACCATGTATTTTTCTGTCTTTTTTTTATTCGCTCACTTTTTTTTTTTTTTGCTTTAAGATGGGGTGCTCCTGATTGATCCAGAATACCTTAAAGACCGAAAAGGTAACATACTGTTTCTCCACTTTTATTGTAGTGCCTGTAAAGTACGAAATCTTTAAAATGAAGTCATCTAAACCATGGCCCTAAATATTTATCTCTCCCATTGCTCTCTTTTTACCAGTGTTCGTGACACTGACGTGTGCCTTCCGATATGGCCGCGAAGATCTGGATGTGCTGGGCCTGTCTTTCAGAAAGGATCTGTTCATCTCCAGCTTCCAGGCGTATCCTCCTCTGCCCGACGAGCGCAAACCACTCAGTCGCCTGCAGGAGAGACTGCTGAAGAAGCTTGGCCAGAATGCATATCCCTTCAACTTCACGGTGACCCTTCATTTACTCATTTACTCAAAGTGTACTTCAGTTAGGTTAGCACATGTGCACACAGTCCACTGCACAGCCTTTCATAGTACACTCCATTTTAGGGCATGCACAAACACAGGCACTCTAGAAAGATTCATAATTTATTTCTAATATCGTGTTGCACCGATGCATGCCCTACAATGTGTCCTAACAACATCTGATACAACCAGATTTCAGCGACAGTCAATGTGGCTGTCTGCACGAGATCTGCACGAGTCCTGTTCCCACTATATATATATATATATATATATATATATATATATATATATATATAATTAAAATAAAATAAAGTGAATTAAATAAAACATAAGGAACATCCTGGATCTGTTTCTTCGCTCTTTTTAATTTATTTTTGTGTGTTATAGAAGCATCGGATCAGGATTCGTTATCGGTAGATACTCAAAATCAAATGACTCGAAGGCAAAAAAAAACCTTATCAGGACATTTCTAATAGAAATACAGTCCGAATAGCCTATAGTTTCGCGCATGAACTTTGTGAGAAATTAGCTTCCGACCTTGCGCCTGTCAATTAATATTATTTTAATTTGAGTCTCTCTTATTTTTTTGTGCAGTAAATTAATAGCAAGGGTATATATTATTTGTATATTAGTGAATTCTTTTTTAAATATTTCCATTTTGGGGGAGTCCCACAAATATTTGTGTTCTCCCGCAACTCGTACATACAGTTGAAGTCATGAATTATTACCCCCCCCTTCTTTAATTCTTAGCCCCCTTTTTTATTTTTTCCCATAATTTATGTTTAACAGAGAAAAAAAAATTCTACACATTTCTAAACATAATAGTTTTAGTAGCTAATTTCTAATAACTGATTTATTTTATCTTTGCCATGAAGGCAGTAAATAATATTTTACTAGATATGTTTCAAGAAACGTCTATACAGCTTAAAGTGACATTTAACTAGATTAATTAGGTTAACTAGGCAGGATAGGGTAATTAGGCAAGTCATTGTTTAATGATGGATTGTTCTGAAAAAAATAAAAGCTTAAAGAGGCTAATAATTTTGACCTTAAAATGGTTTTTAAAAAATTAAAAACTGCTTTTATTCTAGCCGTATTAAAACAAATAAGACTTTCTCCAGAAGAAAAAATAGAATCAGACATACTGTGAAAATTTCTTTGCTCTATTAAACACCGTTTGGGAAATATAAAAAATAAAGAAGAAAAAATTCAAAGTGGGCTAATAATTCTATCTTCAACTGTAGATGATTTTATTACCGCCCGCACTCGCATTCATCCATTAAATCATGCCCCATGCCGCACGACTAGTCCACACCAAACGTGACACGACAGAAACATTTAAATACCAGCTGTTGAGAAGCGCAGAATAGTGCACTTCACTCCCTACCAAACGAACAAGTTTATTATCTAATTAATAAGTATCAAACTTCATAAAATTATTTTAAGTACATGCTGATTGACTTGAGTTTGCACAAAGTCATAGTTCTCAAAAAACAAACTATATATTTGCTAGTTATTTGATTTCCAACATCTGAGGTAGAGGTGTGAACCTATACTGGTCTAACGGTTCGGTTCGGTTACGATTATCATGCCTTCGATTCGGTTCAATTCGATATCTCTGTGCATCACGGTGCATTGACGATGCTTTCCATATACAGTGTTATATTTTAGGGGGGAGGCTATAACAAGCTGTCTGTATAAACACACAGAGACACAGCACCACACTGTCTCTCATTCAAACACATACACAAACATAGACAGCACCAAACAAATAAATAAACAAACACACACACACACACTTAAGCCCTTGCAACAGGGAGAGCTTGCGCTGAGCGGAGCAGAAAAACGAAAAAAATAAGCACTTTTCCGACGGTCCCTTACTGAGAGCTCCTCTCAGCACGAGCTCTCCTGGCTAAACACATATTGCGAGGGCTTAAACGGAGCAGTGCTCGTAATGTCGAGTGAAAAAAAGAGAGAGACAGCTGTGAAACATAACCAGCTTTGTCTTTCTGTAGGAAACACACTTTAGATCTTTTAGGGTAAGAGGTTTTTGAGTTAATGCCGTCTATAACTGAATGTGTGTCAGGAATATCGAAAACAAAACTAACTGAACTGCGCTCATTTCTGGTGCCCCCCTGGATATACAGCGCCCTTAGCATTTGCCTATGGTGCCTATGCCACGGGCCGGCCCTGAGTTGGCTAAGTGTTGTAAATACTCGCGCTCACCTCCCTCGCGACAGAGCGCATAGGAGATAAATGACGTCAGTACATAATAACCTATTATGATTATTACTGAACTAATACCGAATTGTCCGCGTCTGCATCGCGGTGCACCGAAGAAACAATTAATTTTGACACCCCTAATCTGAGGTAAACCATCTTCTGGCGCTTGTGATATGGTAATAAGTGTCATGTAAAGTTGTATCCAAACTGAAATCAGTAGCATTCAGCACTTAATAAAGCACATAATCAGCACCTGAGGTGATCATTGTCTCAGTTATGATGTTGTTCAGCTGCAATGTTGCAGAAATTGAAACTGTTTCTAAAAAAGGAACTCCACATCATCAACTATTTAGATTTAAAAACTCTTATTTACAGGGGCGTCATGGTGGCGCAATGGTTAACACAATCGCCTCACAGCAAGAAGGTCACTCGTTCGAGCCTTGACTGAGTCAGCTGGCATTTTTGTGTAGAGTTTGCATGTTCTCCCTTTGTTCATGGGAACACCCTGGGTTTCTTTGGGTAATCCGGTTTCCCATACAAGTCCAAAGACGTGATAGGTGAATTGGGAAGGCTAAACTGACCGTAGTATGTGTGTGAACGAGAGTGCATAGATGTTTCCCAGTCATGGGTTGCAACTGTAAGGGCATCTGCTGCATTAAACATATGCAGGATAAATTGGTGGTTCGTTCTGCTGTGGTAGCCCCAGATTAATAAAAGGACTAAGCCGAAGGAAAATGAATAAATGACTCCTATTTACATCCAAATGATAGCTTTTAATCATGTGTCGCAGTGCTGTGTTAGATATAGTTAGTGCACAAGTATACTTTGGGCTACATGCTCAGCTGTGTGTTTTGAGCAAGTCTATTACCAGGGGTCCGTTCTTTGTACGTGGATTACTCAGTTAGCTGGATTTAGATATTGACGATTTGACACGATCCAGGATCGTTTCGTTCTTCAAAGCTGATCCGAGAGTTGTTGTCATAGCAACAGTTCTGCTAGGCCAAACTTGATCGGGAGCAGGTTCAATTCATATAAACAGGATTAGATCGGCTCAGTTCAAGCAAAGATAATACAGAAAGTATGTTCTGAATTCTGATATTTTCTTACAGTAGTAGTTAAATACACTTGGGAAAATGGTACATATTTTTTAACTAAATATATATATATAAAGTTATAGTCATTAATAAAATGAATTAAGTTATACATATTAATAAAATGTATGCAATTTGCACCCTCGAAATGAAAGTACAAAGACTGCCACCTGGTGGTGCAAAGAGAACTTATTGATATGAACTTTTTAGATCGCTTTAGTACAAATTGTGTATAATAGAAATGCACAATATGTGACTTTTTTAAAAGCAATAATACATTTCAGCAGTCATAAACAGGTTTTGACAGTTAATATGCCGGTGATTTGATGCTTCACAAAAGTTGCAGACGCCTTTACCGATATGAAAATGCTTTTGTAAACAACCAGTTATTTTTTACACCGATTAAAAAACCGCTTCTATAATAAAGAAAATATTTTCTAAATGTGGAACTAAATACATTGATATGCATTGAAATACATGATGAATACACTTGACACATGAAAGTGTAAAGCCTGCAGCTCACAACAAATGTGGAAGGTTATTGCGTGTCATATTTAACAAACCGTTTATTGCTAATTTGATGTTATTTTAACTCACATGGATAATTGAATATTAATCAGATGGTGTCATTACGCTGCTGTGCCGTCAGCCAATCGTTGCATTGCTGATCATGATTTTGAGGATCGATAGATATGTCCTTCACAACACACGCAGCGATCTCAGATCAGTTTATCCAGACATTCTAATCTGATTCGCGAACTTGTTTGAAGAACCAAATTAGCGAGAGATCAGTTATCAAGATTAAAAGATCCGGGATCTGCCAAATAATCTTAGATCATTTAAGCGAGGTACGAAGAGCGGACCCCAGAACACAAAGTGTAAGGGTGTTTTCAGACCAGTAGGATATAAGGATATTTCCTTATCAGTTTTTCTTGCCTTCACTTTCACAGTGCAACATTCCATAGTCAATCAAAATACAAGGAACACTTTACAGAATGTAGATATGAGGAAAACATTCCTCTAATCGGTCAGAGTGATATCCCTGTTTATGCACTTCTGTGTAATTAACCTGATGGATTGACAAATTTGCGCCGTGGGCTTATTTGTTGACACTGCGCACACACATACTTACACAAACATTTAGACATGTAGCCATTTTTCCCACTCTAACTGATAAATTGTATATATTTAGTACATTAAGAGCAATAATTGATGATTTGTTGGGACAGCATTGTTGGAACGCGCAGAGAAGAATCATTACTCAGTTAAAGATGAAGAGGTGCTCTTTAGTTTTCTGCGATAACTGATGTGTTTACCAGCAGAATCTGACACTCGGGTTTTATTATGCAGCACATTTCCCAAACTGAATTATGAGAACGCTTGCTTTATTGGGCCATTGAGTCAGATTGTTTTCTCACTTTAACGGAATTACTCCAGAGCTTGTTTTCAGGCAGCCTTAGATTGATTGATCAGATTTAACACACATTTTCCTGTGAGTTTGCTTGATTGTGACTTGGCTTGTTTGCTTGTCCAGATTCCTCAGAACCTTCCCTGCTCAGTGACCCTACAGCCCGGCCCAGAGGACACAGGAAAGGTAATGACACAAGACATCTTTTAAAAACTGACTTTGTGACTTGAAAGATCATATTGTTAACTACTACAGTATGTACTTCTTTCTTTATTGTGTATTTTAAGTTAAACGGCATGTGTTTTGTTTTTTCACCCAAAGGGCACATTTAGATCCAGGGTATAATAAAGAATCCAATGTCTTCTTTGAGATGAAACTATTATAACAATTACATTTTAGAGACACCTGAGAATTATGTTATGTTTTAAGAGCATTATAGGCATAAACCAAATGTCTTTTCTCCCGTCTCATTGGTCATTAATCTCTGTATTTGACTCATAGGCATGTGGTGTTGACTTTGAGGTCAGGGCATTCTGTGCCAAAACTGTGGATGAGAAGACTCACAAAAGGTAAAGTGTTGCTCCTTGTGAGTTTCTGTTCTTTTATTTGTAATTTTTCCATAATGATGAAAAAGGTTTTGAACACAAAATAATTGTTATTAATACATTTTTGCACCTCACCCCAAAGGCTGACTATGTACAATGCCAAAATAAATGTAAAACCGTCTCCTCATATTCATTACAAAAATACAATTTACATCAATCCCACTTTTAAATGTATGCAAATAATGTTTTGCCTGATAAAACCTGTGGATAAATTTATAGGATACTTCTTTAATTCTATATTACTATATATATTACTATACTTTGGGCAACATAGTCAGCTGTGTGTTTTGAGCGAGTCTAATAGTAGAAATATTACTAAAGTTTATTACTATATGCTCGTATAGGTATTTTAAATATTATTCACCAAATCAGTTATCAGTTCTGTATGGGTCAATTCTTAAATGTAACTACACTTTGGGAAGCATGGTCAGTTGTGTGTTTTGAGTGAGTCTATTACTAAAAATATTGCTGGAGTCTATTACTATATAGTAATAGTCTATTATTACTATATGGTCTAACTATATATACTTTATAGTCTATTACTGTATAGTACTATACTCCCAAATATTACTAAACTTTGGGCAACGTGGTCAGCTGTGTGTTATGAGCGAGTCTATTACTGTTTATTACTATATAGTTGTCTACTGTAGGTACATGGTATTTTAAATATTATTCAATAAATCAGTTATCAGTTATGTATAAGTCAATTCAAATCATTACTCATATCATAAATACACTAGCATTCACTAGCATCCTGGGATTTGTTTTTCCAAAGAGTAGAATTTTTATTCAGCAAAAGTGCATTAAATTGATCAAATGAGACAGTAAAAAATGTACATAATTAAAAAAAAAGCTTTCATTAAAAATAGATGCAGTTTTCAGAATGTTTTGACATTAATAATAATAATAATAATACATACATTTTTATGTTTCGCTAAATCAGCATATCAGAATAATTTTCTAAAAGATCATGTAATAATAATAATTAAATAACTGTTTTACCTTCGGTTATATTTTTTGATGTCAAATATTTTAAGTAAGTTTACATCGTAATCAAACTTCATTTATATAATTATAATTATTTATTTGTTTTTAATAGATTCCAAACAGTTGAATGGAAAGGGAATGTCATCTGTCTTTACAATTGCAGTACATCAGGTTATGTCTAACTGGGCTCTTCTTCACAGGAACTCGGTGCGGTTGGTCATTCGTAAGGTCCAGTACGCGCCAGAGAAACCTGGACCGCAGCCCATGGTGGAGACCACACGCAGCTTCCTTATGTCTGACCGCTCGCTGCACCTCGAGGCCTCACTAGATAAAGAGGTGCGAACACACACCTACACACGATCACACTTCATGCACTGCCCTCGGCTTATCAATAATTCAATTACTTTTCTCAACTACTACTGGAATCGCTGTCTTTCGGTTTCATTTTTCATCTAAGGTTATTGCCTTAGTGTATAATAAAAAAGTATTAATAAGTAAAGTAAAATATGCAATATGCAAATGTAGTGCAGTTATTTAAATATTAAAAGATACTTGTATTATGAAATAAATGTATTATGCTTGTACCACTTTAGAATTTGGGGGATTTTTGGCTTATCTTTATGTCTTTGATTTTTAAGTTTAGTTCACAGAAAACATGAATAAACAAAATACACTCCCCTATAAGATCATTTTCTCATATCTGTATTCTATTTATTTACTGAGCAATATGTTTATACATTCTTTGACTCACAACATTACACTTGCAACATATATTTTACAACATACAACATATTCCTTAAAAGAATGATTTAAAAATATACAAATATTATATATAAAATAGTCAGCCAGTTTGCAGTATTTTCTGAATTATGGAGTAATGAAATGAGATTCAAAAAATCCCCTCTGGAAAAACTTTTAGAGTCAAAAATTTAAGACCACGTCTAATTTTGACATATTGTTTAGTGTGCTAGAAATGGATGCAAAGTATACATTTTAGCACATATATTTTTTTAAATAATTGCTTTATTTGCATATTTTAAAAAAAATCTAGAAAAATTGTACTACACAAAATGTTGATATTCTTTTGTGTTATCAATCTGTGGCTGTATGGAGGTAATAGACACACTTTAAAATAAGATTCTGTTAGTTGATATATTTATTATCATGAACTAAGAATAAACAATACGTGTGCATCATTTATTAATCACAGCTCAACATTTACAAATGCATTAATAAAATACAAAGCTGTTAACATTAATGCACTGTGATGAGTTAACGACTTTGTTTTAATTAACTAAAATTACACTGAGTATGTTTACATATACACCAATAGTCTGATTTTAATAGGATTAAGACAATACTCTGATTAAGAGTCTACCATGTAAACATTGCTTTTTATTAATTTTATCAGATTAAGTTCATAATCGAGTGTGAAGTTTGCTGATTTTTGTTGCATTATTAACGTTCATTCAGACATGTTAAACACCACAATCCAACTCTTACCGTCATGTGGGATTTTCGCAGCATTTTGTGACAGTATAGTTTATACACACACAGCTGTTTGACAGCATTCTCTGCATCTACCGAGTCAGTGAAGGACCACAAACAGGCGCAGATCTTCTTGTGCGCTCTCAAATAAACACTGCTAAAGTGCGATTTAGTGCGTTTATATAGTGATATGTCGCCAATATTTATTAGATCTACTAGGAATATTTATGAATGTCTACAATAGACCTACTGAGCGGTATTATTGCACCCTGAAGTTAAGTGAAACGGATATATGTCATGTTTGCTGGCCTCACGTATCACGCACCTGTCAGTCAACCAGTCAGTCAGTCAGCAAGTAACCTTAAAGGGTTAAACAAATGACGCACAGCACTACTATGGTTACAGAAAAGTTTGCGCTTTTATAATTCACTTACCTTTTAATACGTTTTGGTGTGATTATCTCCCGATATTTAAAAAAAAAAAAAAAAAAAAACAGGACTGAATGTTTGGAATAATAAGCTGTAATGTATCCGTGGTGGGATCAATTTTGCCGTGGCACCCCGCCGTGGAAGAATGAATGTAGCGGAAACCATGCATACGGTGTGCGGTATCAAATTCCATTAAAACAACACTCTTCCAGCAGTTCATACTCTCATCCAATACTCTCATGAAACTCGGAGGAAATGGGAAGCGTGGTCACGCAACGAGCAATCAAATTATGTGCTATAACATGTAAATGGGATCATAAAAGGAAAATTGAAAAAGCAACTCATGAAACACCTTAATTTTATTATTGTCTTATTCAGATTAAGGCAAATTATTTGATTAATGATTTCCCTGTAAACGTAGTCACAGATAAATAAATACTAAAAAGATTGTTCATTGTTCATGCTAAATACATTAAATAACATAAATACCGTGTTTAATCCTATCCAGTGTTTTTTCTTAAGCATTGAATTCCTCTTTTTCAGCTCTACTACCATGGTGAACCTATCAGCGTCAATGTCCATGTCACCAACAACTCCACCAAAACAGTTAAACGAGTTAAAATCTCAGGTAAGGAGAGCATTTTAATAATTGATGTTGCATGTATTTAGAGTAAATGTTACATTGCTGTAAGTAAAAACCATAGCTTTTGTGTTTTACATGTTTGTTATTATGTTTTAAAGTTGCCTTTATTGCTAACCTCAGCAAGCTTGAATCCTTTAGCTTTCCTCTTCCCCTTTTTCCTTTCCTGTTGCTTTTGTCCTGCATTTGTGTCTCACGCACTCACAGATGTTTACAGCAGATATATGTTGTTTACTTGAGAAGGAATTTTCAGTGTTTCATAATTCATCTGTGACAGAATTTAAAAATATCTTCGTAGCTCACAGGTGTGTTTGCACTGAAACGCTGCTTTTTCTGTGCTCTGGTTATAGTTATGTCTCAAAGGTCAACATGAAATGGGGCATCACAAACAAATTTCCATATTTAATGTGATATATTGAGTTATCTATATTAGGGCTGCATGATATCGGAAAAACCTGACATTGTGATTAGTTTGTTTTTCTGCAATATTGATTGCAATAAGAATATAATTTCACAAGAAGATTATTTGGGGAGAAAAATCATAATTTTACATCGATTGGGATGTTTGGTGGAGAGTGTAGAAAATATACAAAATTATAATATATGAATATAATCCGGGTTACACAGTAGCTCAGTGGTTTGCACTGTCTGTCTGTCTGTGTGTTTAGGATTGTAACGTATGTAAGGCAAAAATAAATCTTACTGACCAGTTAAACAGTGGTGTCTATTTTTAGATTTATGCATCAATAAGAGTCTGCCTTAATTCTATGTGAAAATGCATTCATTTTTTTAAATACTGTGAAAGATTTTTCTCACTGTGACCCTTTTTTCAAGATTTGATTGTCAGTGTTTATTTAAAGTAGGTTGTTTGCTTTAAATTTATAAATACCTATACATAATTGATGAATTCAGTGAATCCTTATGGGGAAAAAGAACATTAGAACAAAAAATACATATAAATAATTCTATATTTAATTTCATGTTGACTATCCTCTATTTACGTTTCTATCTGTCATTTCTCGTCTTCTGTTGATCTTTTCTGAAGTTTGCGCTTCGGTTCCGCTCATGCTCAAGTGTTCAGTCAGCAATTGTGTGTGTTTGGTTTCCTGTACGCTCCCTCCCGGCCCTGGTAACCCCCGCTGTGTTTCCCTGCTCTCTCCCCACAGTGCGACAGTATGCCGATATCTGTTTATTCAGCACCGCTCAGTACAAATGTCCTGTGGCTCAGGTAGAAGCCGAGTGAGTAGCTCTCTGTCCCTCTTTTCACATCCCCAATATTCAGTGATCATCTTCTTTTCTCAACAACCTTTTCCACATCATCATCTCCACTCTCCTGTTCTGTTTAAAATGCCCCATTTATTCTTTTTTAAAGGTTTATATCTCTGAAAAAATGATTAATTGGAATTTTTTTTTTTGAGGTAAGTGGTTGCAATCGTTTGCAACCTCTTACCTTAAAAAATGGAGTAAATCTAATCAATTATTTTATTACCTCAGTGTCGTTTTGTTTTAGAGCCTAAAACCGGTTTGCCTCCATCCAAGATCAAAAATTGGACTGTGTCTGAATAATCCTCTCTAAACTTTTTGAGAGCCAACTGTTCTCCGATTGGTCGATTGCCTAGTAGGCTGTAATTGTTCTTTAACTTACAGCACATGTCAGAACTCAAACGCAGGTTACCATTATTACATTTTAGAGGCTTAATCAACACTTGAAAACAGGGATGCAGTGGCACTGGTTTACCATCTAAATAGGACTTATTTTAAGTGCATTCAAAGAAATTTTGCTTTTACAGCACAGACAGCAGCATTTTTTGACATATTGTCAAGTCAAATCTAACTCTTCTGAGGCTCGGAAACAGCAACAGTGTTTGAGGGTCACTGTAGAGGATGTCCGCAAGCTAAAGTGAAGAATATTGGCTTCATGCAGATTTGTTTCAAACCAATGTAGGTTTGTGCAGCATGCAAGACTGAAATAACAAACAACTCATTTCAGGCAGTTCAGTTTCTTTTGGGAGACAATAACATATATTGTGCACTTTGATATTTGAAACTGCTGGAATATCCTGGATTCTTAAAAGGACTATTTCAGCCAATAAAAGTCAGGGAATAGATTTTTTTTTGTCTTAGTCATGGCATATTATGGATATTTTTTATGCCTTGTTGTTAGGCTAACATGTCAGGTTAAAATCCATTTTAGGGGTTTTGGCTTCAAAATGCCCACTTCAAAGAATGGGTGTTAAAAAGTAGATTTCAGAAAACAAACAAACTTAAAGTTACTATCGAGCTATCAAATATGTGCTTCGCAGCCATGCATACATTAAGTATATCCGATTATTTTCAAAACCTGAGGTAAATTATTCATTGTTGCTCTCGTAGTGACTAAAGTCCTGCAAAATGATATTCAATCTAAAAGCATTTTAGAGTTATGCAAAGCACAACAGCAGACTGTTTTCCATGGTCATTATAGGTCATGGAAATTCAGCATTTTAGTCAGTGAAAAGTCTAAATATTTGTATATTTTACATCCTCGAACATGTACATTACACTCCACATGAAAGGTAATGTCAGAGAAAAAGCATAATAGGGGCATTTTAAAGAATCCAACTTTTGATTTTTACCTGTCTTCTCTTCTTATTTGGTCTGTTTTGCTTCTTGCCTCTGTTATTGTCAAGTAGCGTGTCAACAAAGTAAATTTGTAGTGCTTTATTAGTACACGTGCTTCAGATGTATCCTTGCCTATTTAGCAGGCTTGGCTATCAATTGTTTTTTTTACACTGGTGTCAAATAGACATTTTTAAAAGGGTATCTAAACAAATACCTTTAAATAAAGCCAAAATATGTTGGAAGACAATGAAGAATCGCAGTTATCTTTATAACAGGTTACTACTTTAAAATGTAGCCTAATGATTTTTTTATTTTCATAAAAAGAAGTAAATGTCCAATGTTTTACCTCTTACACCTGCGATTGCAGTTAATGGCTCAGGCTTGCTGAAACGCCAAAATCTGCTTTCTGATTTGTTTAAAATACATAACAATTGTATAGGTACCAGTGCCACACTGGCAGCAGTGTTGGTGAAATGAGTTACAAACTAACATGTTACTGTAATTAAATGACTCATTTAATGTGTTACTTATACTGTACTTTGCTGTCTAAAAAAAATTTATACAAACTTATTTTGAAGAATATTTATGTTTTTTAATCTTCAGAAAGAAATTTATCAAGACAATTGCAAATACTTAAGAAACAAAGTCAAAAATTAGTGGGTGTAATGAAATATGGTGTCATTAAAATTCGATTTACTTTTGCAGAGTAATTCTTAATGTTACTTAAATAAATGTAATATTGTTATTAGAAAGCTTGCAAATTCAAATTTCCTTTTTTTATTTCTTGAAACTTAATTTTAGGCTAAGTTTGACTCAGATTTAAGAGTTTAATTTCCATTTAGATAAATAGAGGGCCACACTTTATTTTGATAGTCCGTTTTTTAAAATTAATTTACATTGCATCTACATGCCAACTAATTCCCAGTGGATTATAAGTAGACTGTCAGGTTGGGGTTAGGTTTGGGTTTAGGGCTAGTGTAAGCTGACATGTACTTGCCTGTTGAAGGAGCAGTATCAACAGATAATAAGCAGACAGTCTACAAACACTCAAGTGGACTGTCAAAATAAAGTGTTACCAATTAGAGATTTTAAATAGTATTTCAGTCAATTAATTAAACTCAGAGTAATTAAAACAATTTTTAGATATTGTAATTAGAAAAGTAATGTAAATGCAGTTTAAAGGATGCTATTAGTACCCAACACTGATTGGCACTCTTTGAATCAAACTTTGTTTTTGCTAAAGCCATGCTCGTGCATCCAACCGTCCCAAATAAACTCCAATTCAAGCTTGTCTGTACAGCTTTGTCGCTCGTTCCCTGTCATACCCAGAAGTCACTATATCCTTGACCAGTCTGTGACCTTCTCAGTCTGTAGTCGTCATGCAGTCTTTTACAGCAGCACCCCTCATTTGACATGACACAGAATGGCTTAACCCCTTTGCCCCGCTGCTGAAAGTCCCACCGCTGGCCTCATAGTCAATAGTTTTTCAGTGCCATTAGGACGACAAAGACTTTCTCTCTCAGTGCTACAGGTTACAGATGTGGTTCTTTACTCTCACGACACCTACAGCAAGTCTGTGGGCCGACAGTCATCACGGTGAGTCTCACACTTAAGTGTTTGTTGTGGCTCCTGTGACCCTGAGCTCACCCCTGGTTGTCGATGAAAGCTTTTGGACCCTTTCCTCCATCCTCTGTGTGAGATGAAGCAGTGTTGGTTTACTTTTACCCCTCCAAAAAACAAGAAGCATAGTTGTCTGGAGCTGTCAAGTCAGTTGGGACCAATCGCTAGTTTCCTTTTTGTAGCTTCCAGCTTGAATTTCCCCTGTGTTTTCCCTTTATTTATCTTTTTCAACTTCCTGTCAGGACAAACAAACCATGAATGAGTAGCATACTGAATAATCCTGGCGTTTTTCTCTTTCTGCTTATTCTGTCTTCACCATATGTTCTCCTGATCTTTCATCCTGAAGCATTATTTATGTTCTCATGAACCACATTTTATGTTTTACCTTCTCAAACTCAGCCAGAGTGCTGCTTGGTGATCCCACATACAAAAGGTTGTTATGGTATTGCTGTGCATTGACATGCAGGATTTCTTGTCTACAATACATTGATCATCTAAATCAGGTGTCAATACATGTTACACTTCAGTCAACTCATAGGTGTACTGTACTGTATATAGTGTTTATTTACAAAAATATTTTTCGGTTTGATTTTGTTTTGCTTTTTTTTCATCAAATTTTTCTTTTGTTTTGTATTATTTAAACACAGGAAAAACATGCAGTAGATGATCAACATATAGCAGTCGGCATAGATATACATGTAATAACCAATATACAGGTAATAATATTAATAGTAATGCCAACAATAATGAGAATAAAAAGGAAAAACTGAAGAATAATTGACAAAGACATACTAAAACAAATAATAAATAAATAAATATATACACATACACGCACATACATATACATAAAACTAATTTCTAAACCAAAAAGGCAAGAAACCAAATCTGTATTTATGGTTAAGTAAGGATGAAATGAAGCCAGTAAAAATAAATAAATAAATAAATAAATAAGAGAATGGTAATAGACAAATAGAATAAGATATTCAAAAAAGAGGTCTACAACAATGAAGAAGTTATTTAAAGCCCAAATAAAAAAAAACTTAAACAAGTACTATAAAGAAAAAAAAATTAAAATAATAAAGCGGGAAAATTTTAATTTTTTTAAATTTATTTATTTATTTTTTTTTTTTTTAAATGTATAGGGTCTGGAACCAGACGTTTTTGCTTTTTGATGTCTCCTTGATTCAAATTATTAAACCTTTAAGTTTTTCCAAGGTTTGTGCCCAAAGTCTGACGGTGTCCTCTCTTGCACCATGGATGTGAGCAGTGGACATTTCGAAATACACAATATCAAAAAAAGTTAGAACCCAATGATGGTGATTAGGAGAATGTGGAGGCTTCCACATGTCGCAACTATTTTCTTGGCTGCTGTCTAGCCAGCTAAAAACACTCGCTTCTGAATTTTGTTAAGCTGGATATCAGAAAAATCATTTAAAATAGAGGGGGCAAGAAGGAATGAAATGTTTAGTATTGAAGACAAATTTTGCTTTCTGTATTCCAAAAAAAAAAACCAAGCTCAGGACAGTCCCAAATCATGTGAAAAAATTTACCAGTTTCACTTGTAGGACAGAGAGTGCATTTAGGATCAGGTTTAAGCTTCATGCTATAAAGTTTGCATGGAGTAATATAAGTCCTATGGATGAAGTTTAAATGAATCTGTTGATGATTGGGGTTCCTGGATGTAAGCATTACCATTGCCCAGACGTCATCCTAATCAAAACTGGTAGAAAGTTCTGAAATATCTGCTCTCCAAGAAGAGAGTCTAATGATAAATGGATGTACAATGTTCCTAAAAAAGTATGTATATATTTTAGAAACCAATCCCTGTGCTCCCTGAGTCGTGCAATAGTTTTAACTAGGGGTGTTCTCTAAGAGGAGCCGTCCACGGGACCCAAAGGCTTTCATGGCTGCCCTCAGCTGTAAGTGAATGAAAAAGGAGGAGCTTTGCAGATTAAACTTAACAGAAAGTTCTTCAAAGGAATAGAGACCCTTTTCACCCATTAAATTATCCAAAAAGTGAATAAATTTGTCATACCATTGTCGACACTGGCCAAACTTAATTGGATATTTATTAATAAACCGTAGTTATTAAAGATAGGAGAGCAAGGATACCTGTTTAAATGAATATTACAGATATTTTCTGCTGCACTACAGCTCTGTGAGATAGCGTGTGATATTAAGGGGCCAAAACTGAGCTTGCACTTATTTTTAGGTATATTAGCAAACAAAAAATCATTCATCATATTTTCCTCAAGCGAATGCCAAGAAACTTAAATTTTATCATCAAACCAGCAAAGTAGGGGACGAAGCGTAAAGTTTTGTTTTGTTTTTTAATTTATTTTTCTATTAATATTATTATTATTATTATAGTTGAATTAAACAAATCGGCAAAATCAATACAACACTTTTGATATATTAATAATAAAAATACAATTACTTTGTCTTATAGTTATAATTATTAAATCTAAAGAAATTGAGATTGCATTATATATATATATATATATATATATATATATATATATATATATATATATATATATATATATATATATATATATAATTTTTAAAAATTTATTATTTATTTTTTTTATTGGTTGTTATTTCTTCGCTTAGACATTAAACCGTAGAGCTTATATTTTGGTGTCAAACCACAAAGAAACTTCACTTATTCAAAAGGTTGTATGGTATTGTTGTGGATTGACACACAGTCTTTTTTGTCTGACATTAACCAGCTAAATTAGGTGTCATTAAATGTTACTCTTCAGTCAACACAGGGGTATGATGTACTGTATAAAGTGTTTATTTACAAAAATATTTTTTGTTTGATTTTGTTTTGCTTTTTAATTACTATTTAACTTTATTTTTATTAGACTGTCTATAATTAAAAACTTGGCAACTAGCTGTGTTTGGCTTTTATTTTAACCAGTGTTTATTTTAGCTTTAAAATGAAAATATACACAGGTCACTACTGTGCAGGGGAAAAAAGCAGGAAGCTGACAGTATTGATTTATTATGAGAAAAGGCAGTTTTAAAGTGCAATTACACTTTTCATATGAATACAAATGTGGTTTCAAGTGTTGTGCTTTAGTGTGAGTAAAAATGAGCTCTTCTATATAAAAAAAACTCGAGTAGTGAGTATTATGCTGTAAAAAAATCTATTTTATACCTGGCAAAATAAAAAAAATTTAGCTCACATCAATCCTAAGGGGTGTTTAAGGTAAATTGATTGCCAATTATGATCTATACATACAAAATGTGATGAATAAACTTGAGAACACATTAATAGATGCACCTATAATTAGCTAACAGAACGCAGGTTGATTAACATGCAGAGTAAAATCTTTTTATCCTAAAGGGCAAAATTCTAGCTGTAGCAATATGTAAACAATTAATTTATGCACTTTAAACCCTGACTAACAAGCCAAGAGTGTTTAGCAGTTGACGCCAAAAAACAAGCTCGTGCAGCACTGACAGAATGCTTGCAATTTGTGCATGTGTTTGAAAACATAAAGTTCTGTAGTGCATTTAAAAAAAATGTAAATTGATCAGAAAATAAAAAAGGAAGGAGTCTGGAAGTAACATTAGAATTCACTCATAATGCATCCTTTCAAGGCAGAAGTCAAAAAATGTTTCGCTTTCTTACATGATCAGTGACTCTGAAGACCTTGTGTAGCCGGTTGAGTGGCTAAACTGTGCAGAACCTGGTGCAGTGTTACTGTGAACTGTGAATTTGACAGTAGTATCAATACTTTGTATTGTTAAATTCAGTGCAAAGTCAAGGTCAGTTCTTACCTGTCATCCTGCTGCTGTTCTGCTCCATCTCTGATTACATTATGTCCAAGCATTTGTATGTGCATGTCTTTTTAAAAGAGTTCAGTGCAATTAACATCATTTAGAGTAGGCATTTTAAAACGGTTTAATGTCACAACTCTCCAAATATACCAATTTCCTCCAAGAAGTGAGCATTTTAAGATTTTTCTTTTACTGTCAGTAAGATACCATTTCAAATAGCCAATTGATTTCTGATCATTGTCAGAATGAAATAGGAATGATGTCTATTTTTGTTTTATTATTTTAGCTTTAAACATATATTTTATTTCCTCCCAAACTGTTTTACAGACCTTACAGCACCCCCTAGAGGTTGTCTGGGTCTAGTTTTAAAAAACTACTTGCCTGCAGCCTGTAACTGAAATTTGCTGAATCCAACTGGAATAAGATTAGCAAATAATGGGAATGAAATAAACTGATTATGGCATTAATTCCAGAATTAGAGTTTGCCTTATTTTTTTCTGCCATCTCACTATCAGTGTTATTGTAGAAATTTGTAGTATTATCATATTTATTCATATTTAAAATGGAATGGTAAACTTTTAGGCATGGGCCGCTCTAAGTTTATGATGGCATAATAACCTTGGATAAAAATATCACGGTATTGTGCTGACTGCTCTAAAATAAGCTCTTTTTAAACGTCTGGGTAAAACAAAACAAAAAACTTTTTCCCTCATCGAACACAATTTATTTTATTTTAAGAAACAATATTTTGGAACAGTAAACATGTCAGGCTAAAAAGTTCAAATAAATCATTGACTACTGCACTCTTTATTAGTTTCAAAAACACAACACAGTAACCTTACATATACCTTGGGAACGGTATAACAGAACATTATAGCGGTTTTAAAACCTTGACTTTTCCAAACCGCGGTAAACCAGTTATCGTCCCATGCCTATATACTTCACGTTTTATGTGCTTTTTTTCTTGCTTTTAGATTGCTTTATTTATTTTTTACTTTATTTTTTTTTTTTATTTAACGTATGCCTAACTTATTACATTTTCAGTTAGTTGCCAAGTTAATGTTTTTCATTTGGGTTTCTTTTGTTATCCAGTAATTAATTTTGTATTTACAAATGCATTTTATTCTAATTATTATTCTTGTTTTGCTATTATTATTATTATTATTATTATTATTATTAATAATAATAATAATAATAATAAAAGAAAAGCTGTTTGCACTAAAATCACCAGTACACTTGGTGTATTAATAATAAAATACAATTAATATGACTAATTGAAAAAAATATTAAATTTAAAGAAATTGATACTGTAATATTATTTGTTTGTTTTTTAACACCAGTAAAAATGTCAAACTAGTGTTTATGGTTGTTTATTCTTTCTTCTTTTGCCTCCAGACATTAAACCATAAAGCTTATATATTTTTGGTATAAAACTACAAAGAAACTTTAGTCTTGAAATGATTCTGTTACGTAGACAGCATATTGATGAACCATTTTAATTACAAACCTGGAAAGATGTTTGACGCATGCTGCATTTTCATCTGCACAGTGTATGTGACTCGAGCATGCGATGCATCAGATGATTTTTAATAGTTTTACAAAGCAACAACAACACCAGATTAACATTCATAAATTAATTCTACTTCCTTTCACCCCAACACACATTTCGCCACTGTTTTTTTTTCATGTGAATTAAACAGATTTCTAGCACTAAAGATTGATCAGACTTCACAAAATAGGTTTTTTCTTTCTCCAATATGTTTTAGGAACAAAGACTGACTGTGTTTTGTTTGTGCATCTGCAGTGACCAGGTGTCTTCGAGCTCCACGTTCTGTAAGGTGTACACACTCACCCCCACACTAAGCAATAACCGAGAGAAGAGGGGTCTGGCTCTGGATGGACAGCTCAAACATGAAGACACCAACTTGGCCTCCAGTACCATGTAAGTGGCCTTCAGCTGACACCGCGTCACATGCTCGTTGTTGCGTGCTGCCAGAAAAGAAGAACATTACAGCATTAGAACATCTTGAGGTTTTGGTGCTTGTAAAGTTAACCCAACCCATGTGCTCATATAAAGCCTCTAGCAGGGTTTTAGCCATTTCTGTGCTCACTGTGTTTTTCGCTGTGCTTTTAGAGTGAAGGATGTGTCCAATAAGGAGGTGCTGGGGATCTTGGTGTCCTACAGAGTTAAAGTCAAACTTGTGGTGTCCCGTGGAGGGTGAGTGTGTGCTTTGGCTTCAGTACTTCATTTAGACTTAAGGGGATAGTTCACATAAAACTAAAAATTAAATATTTACTTGCTTTCTAGTATATTTTTCCAAAATATTTTTTTTCTGGTGAACACAAAATTAATGTTTTGAACAATGTTGGAAACTTGTAAACAAGGCTTGACATTAACACAGCCGCCAACCCACTAAATACGGGTAAATTTCAGCTGTGGTGGGTTAGACAGCCTTTCCTACTAGCTACTTTGGTCGGTTGAAAATAATTTTTAAATTGTAGTTTTCTTAAAAGTAGGGTTCAACAACAGAGATGGCCCAATATATGTGCAAATGTGATCTTAGAATCGAGAAGCAGCAAGACTGACAAAAATAGCAAAAGAAACAGGTTTCCAACATTTTTCAAAAAAAAAAAATAATAATAATAATAATAATATATATATATATATATATATATATATATATATATATATATATATATATATATATATATATATACAGTGTATGTATATATATATATATATATATATATATATATATATATATATATATATATATATATACATTTTTTTAACTCAAACAGGCTTGCAAGTTAAGGATGAGTAAATTATGAAATGTGTATTTTTGAGTGAACCATCCCTTTAATATTTGTGCACAATATCATAATACTGAACATGATTTGATTGATTGATTGATTGATTGATTGATTTATTGATTGATTGATTGATTGATTGATTCGTTTATGCATACCTTTATTTGTCTCATGGTGGTATGAAAGTATAATAGAAACACATATGCATACACATACCCACACACATAAATACATTGTAAAAAATGTAATGACACAAAGTCAAGACAACAAATATGTTGAGATGACTAGAAAAGTTCATTCGACTAAAAAAATTAAGGCTGCAAAATTGTTTTACAGTGTATGCATATACATAAACAGTTGAAGTCAGAATTATTAGCCCTCTTTTGATTTTTTTTTCTACTTTTTTTAAATATGTCCCAAATTATGTTTAACAGAGCAAGGACATTTTCACAGTATGTCTGATAATATTTTTTCTTCTAGAGAAAGTCTTATTTGTTTTATTTTGGCGAGAAGAAAAGCAGTTATTAATTTTTTAAACAACATTTTAAGGACAAAATTATTAGCCCCTATAAGCTAATTTTTTTCAACTGTCTACAGAAAAAAACATCGTTATACAATAACTTTCCTAATTACCCTAACCTGCCTAGTTAACCTAATTAACCTCTTTAAGCCTTTATTTATTTTTTATTTATATTTAAGCCTTAAATATCTAGTCAAATATTATTTACTGTCATCATGGCAAAGATAAAATAAACCAGTTATTAGAAATGAGTTATTAAAACTATTATGTTCCGTAATAGTCTCTGTTTAACAGAAATTGGGGGAAAAAATAAACTGGGGGGGGGGGGGGGTAATAATTTAGAGCGTATAATAATTCTGACTTCAACTGTATATAAATGCACATGTACATACACATATAAATACTAAGAATGTAAAAAAATGTAAATAAACAATAAGTACAAACAACAAACTTTGTCTTATTTCAGGGATGTGTCGGTGGAGCTGCCTTTTGTCTTGATGCACCCCAAGCCCTCCGAGCAGCCCAACTCTAGACCGCAGTCAGGTAACGCCTCAACTTTAAACATTATATAGTATGTTTACTCTTGGCATGCGTGTTTTGATTCAAACAAGCTCAATTCATGTATTTGCAATTCATGTGACTAAGTATCTGTGCACATTTACATTTAAGCAACCAACAGAAACTTTTATGCTTAAGGGAAACACCTCAGCAGTGTTATTGGGGGTGGAAGAGAATAACTCTTATTCACTTATTAACCTGTCTGTCCCAACTGCCCAATGCCATTTGCACTGGGGACGGGGGAAGATATTGATATACCATAGTATTGCAATTAATTTTTTTCCACAGCAATATTATTACTATATAAGGCTGTCCATTTATTATACTATTTGGTGGAATATTAAAATCTTTTTCCTTATTGTCCACTACAGTATATAGTGTTTTTTTCTTCTTCTGGTTTGCGGGGTCACCTTCATCATGCAGTAAGTTAGTAAAATAAAAATGATAGCATGGTTTTCATTAGTGTTGGTCAGTTTGTCTATTTGACATTAGCATTGCAGACAATAAAACTGAATTGAGAAACAAACTGATAAATATTTCTGTCTAGTTGAAAAAGAAAAAAGCTGCTTTTGAGGACACGATTTGAAATAGAAAAAAGCTAATGAGCAGAACGTTACATTCATATTTAAAACCTCCATTTTGTATTGTGACACAAAGACATGTGCTGGTGTAAGTTTCTGACAAAACGATAACCTTGAATGAATATATCACGGTTTCACAGTATTGTGATCACTGCTCTAAGATATGTTCTTTTTCAATGTCTATGTAAAAAAACAGCAAGTTTTTTTCCAATTGAAAGCATTAAATTTTATTTTGAGAAATATTTAAAATGTTTTAAAACAGTAAATATGTCAGGTTAAATAATTAATATAAATCATTGACCTCTGCTATCTTCATTAGTTTCAAAATCAGATTTATTTACAAAAAAAGACATCTTAAAAACTTAAAAAGACATCTTTTTGGATATCTTGCTTTTTCTGTAGATGTAAAGTAAAGGCACTGCACTGTTTAGGTCTGTAGTATGCTTGGATGTTAGATAAGTGATTTGTTTTCGTGGCTCGACACCAGTAGCTTTTCATGTGGAGGGTCCTTTTCTGCTGGAGATACTGTTGCTCTAAAAAACGGAATTAACAAACACATTTAAAATAAGCTTACATATACTGTAGGAACAGAATAACAGAAAATCGCGGAAAAATCACGCGTCTCCCTCTTGGTCCTCAAATAAGTTGCGCACCCTTCTCACTCCCAGATCCCTCCTTTCACATGATGACGATGCCATCGTCCATCGCGATGTTTCACATTAGACATCGTACGATGCCAAAATGGTCGACATCGCCCAATCCAAGTCCCCTTTACCACCTACTTTTGACCGAAATGGTTGCTGCTCTAAAGCTTGAAAGAATTTGTTTTGCTAGGGCAGATGCTTCTGAAAAGATTGAAAAAAATCTGGGGCCTCTTCCTTACCTTTTTAAGAGTTAAAAGTTGGGCGCTTATGATTCATGGACAATTTTACTCCTTTCTTTTCAATGTTTTGAGTTTGATCAAGTAAAACTCAATGGTGTATATTATTTACTTTTGTATGGTGCATATTTGAATGGACTGGTGATACGTTTTATTTATTGATTATTTATTCACTTCTTATTATTACTTTGTTTTTTGTTTTGTTTTTTTAAATTACGTATTTAATTTTTCTGTATTTTTTTAGATTGTATAAATGTTTTTGTTCTGTATTTGTACTTAAACTGTTATAAATAATAAAAAGAAAAACTCAAAATCAAATCAAACAAAATCAGCTCATTTTACCTGTGAACATGACAACTTTGATTCACGTCACTTTTTTATATTATGTATGAGTTTTGATAATATAGATTGATATAGATATAATATAGAGTATAGATAATATAGTTTTAACAGAACTTGCCGCTGTCCTCCACAGCTGTGCCAGAGACCGACGTCCCAGTGGATGCAAACCTCATCGAGTTTGAAACAAAGTGAGTTGGCTGTGATTTCTCATTCACTGTATCAAATTCTTTCCATATACGTTTGTTTTTCACTGGCGTTTCTCTCTGTCTCCAGTAACTTCTCGCAGGATGATGACTTTGTGTTTGAGGACTTTGCACGGCTCAGGCTGAAGGGAATGAAAGACGAAGAGGACGACCACTTCTGCTAACGGGCCGGAGGCTGTATGGACGGCCGTCAGGGGTGCCAACCTGCCAGTACTCATACCTCTGCTCCACTGCGCCCATCTGATAGAGTGGAGCTCTTACTGATACTTTCTTTCTGTCCTCCCTCCCTCCTTTTGTTTTTTGGTTCCCTTTCACAGCGTTTTTAGCATCCACTCGGTGCTTTTAATCGACCTCTGTTTCTCTGGTCATGCGAACCGCTTCACTGGGGTGCTTGTTTGTCCGATAGAGAGTTTGAGGGAGAAGGAAACTGATGTTTTTGTCGTTGGACAAAGGGGTCCATTGATTCAGGGGATTTTATTCGTTTTTCTTTTGGTTTTCCTGTCATCATATTCCCACTTATATATCGAGTGGGCATTATTAGCTATGTAATTACGGTATATGTTCTATGTTATTTCATTGTACAGTACATACACTGTTCACAGACACCATAGGGAACTTGAGTTTGGTGTTAATTTGATTCCACTTTTGCTAGAACTGTAATCTAATCCCTCCATACCTGCTCGGTAGCTTTTTATGTTATAGTTATGTAAAGCGTATACATATCATACAGAAAAACGCGTAGTAACACTTTTCTGTGCACTCATAGTGCACGCATTACTCTGATAAATAAGGTTGTGGCATTTTTTTAGTGGAAGAGTAGCGCATCGGGACACAAGCGTCTGGTTTCTTATTGTACATTTTAGCCTCTATTCCACATGTCGAAGTTGTAGGATATGTAAACACTGCTACAAGTCTTCAGTGTGAAATTAGCTTGTAGATACAAGAAGAGGACAGGGACAGGCTCTGTATGTGCCGCACACACACACACACACACACACACACACATCGTAATTCCTCATTCTTTGTGCCTGCCAAACTTTATTTGCCAAAATGTGATGATTTTACAATGTTGCTTGTAAGTTAAGCTCAGCTGGGTTGGAAGTCACATGCTCATTCCACGTTTCAGTTGTTTCACAGAAGCTGTCGATGTAATCATTGGACTGCCAGAAATATTTTGATGATGGTATTTTAAAAAAAAATCGCATTTATACAAGCATGATTTCCAGGACTTTTTTGACTTTTTAATCTCGTTCTCCCAGGATCAGCCCTTTCCTATGACATTCTGCATAGTTTACTACTGAACAATGGCAAATGTACTTATGTTACAATGTGTACAAGGAAGTAACATTTTGCAGTGAACAAAGTGGAGCTCCCGTTGAAGGACAAAAAGCTATCTTGAAAATAAAGGATTGCTTTGTTTAAAGCACCCATATAATCATGCCAGTTGTGCATACTTACTTTAGATTTTAACTTCTTTGTGCTCATGAGTTGAACAAAAAGTGTGTCTTTATTTCGACTGTGTATTACGGGATGTTGGAATGGAAAGATTTTGCATTGATTTCTTTAGCGGTCAATAGTGCAGTCATACTAAACATACACACAAATCGAGTTCAGGTATAACGTGTATCTTAAACGGTTACGTTTAGGAGCCAAACATTTGCTATTTTTAATTCTTTTACTTTTCAAAGGACATTTTATTTTAACGTATGAACATAAGAAATGAATATCTCCTGCAGAAACAGTACATGGGTCAGTGGTAAAAAGTGTTTTTTTAGGCATAAAAACTTTTGTGTACATTAAAATTTGTAGTTAAAATTGGCTATTATATATATTTTATACTAGACGCACACATATATACGCTCACCGGCCACTTTAGTACAGTGAACTCATTGTCATGTTCAAGAAACTAGTCTGTTGAGATGATTTGTGCTTATGGCACGTTACTTAGAAGATGGGTACACTGTGGTCATAAAGGGATGAACATGGTCAGCAACAATACTCGGGTAGGCTGTGGTGTTGACGATTGGTACTAATGGGGCCAAAGTGTGCCAAGAAAATATCCCCCACACTATTAGACCACCACCACTTGCCTGAACTGTTGATATAATGCAGGATGGATCCATGCTTTCATGTTGTTAACAGCAAATTTTGACCCTACTATCTGAAAGTTGCAGCAGAAATTGAGACTCATTGGACCAGGCAACGTTTTTCCCCAATCTTCTATTGTCCAATTTTAGTGAGCCTGTGTGAATTGTTGCCTCAGTTTCCTGTTCTTAGCTGACAAGAGTGAGTCCCGGTGTGGCTTTCTGCTGCTGTAGCCTATCCGCCTCAAGGTTGGACGTGTTGTGAGTTCAGAGATGCTCTTCTGCTTACCTCAGTTGTAACAATTTTCCTCTGACCTCTGGCATCAACAAGGCATTTGCACCCACAAAACTTCTGCTCACTGGATATTTTCTCTTTTTCGGATCATTTTCTGTAAACCCTAGAGATGGTTGTGCGTTAAAATCCTAGTGGATCAGCAGTTTCTGAAATACTCAGACCAGCCCTTCTGGCGCCAACAACCATGCCACATTCAAAGTCACTTAAATCACCTTTCTTCTTGTCTTGACTGTGTCTACATGCCTAAATGCATTGAGTTGCTGCCATGTGATTGGCTGATTAAAAATTTTAATAAACAGTTGGACAGGTGTACCTAATAAAGTGGCTAGTGAGTGTATACTGTATTACACGTACACATTCTTTTAAGTCAGCACCCACAAAATTTTCATTAAATTTAACAACAGCTTTTCTTCTAAAAAAGAATCTTGTCAAGCTTATTTCACGCAAAAATGGTTTGAAACGTTTTGTAATATTAAACTGGATCCTCAAAATGGTTTAATTGTTTGTTTTTTATTCATACTTTGCCACTATCTTTCAAATATATTTAGTCATTTAAAATTCGGTATGATCACTTATTCTTTTATATTTTAAAGAGTACATGTTCAAAAGAAAAAGATGACGGAAGCATTAATTTAGCCATATTTTGACATAATTTTACAAACATAATTTTTGTGTATAAAAAATAGTTTTAATATCTAACTTGATGCATATTGCAAAATTGGGCATCTCTCCTTTGACCATTTAGCAAGACTACTAATACTGAGCATATTAAGTGTGACTGTCTAATGAAATCAGAATCGAGGAGGAAATTGAGCTGATTTGAGGAGTGGTTTCCTCTCTAGGCTAAAAGCTGATTGATTCCTTCAATACTGCATGGTCAGGGGAAATCATTTGCAGAATGTGCTGTAAGATATTTACAATTTCATGCAGGCTGTTGTACAAGTGTCTATTTATACTCATTCATTTGTAATTAAAGTGCTAAATTTATTCAATATTATTTTTTATTTCACAAACAACAACTTGATTATAAAATACATCACGGTGTTCAAGCACATTATGGAGTTTCACTATATGATGAACCTGGTGTGTAATATCTTCATTAAAATCCATCTGCAATATGGGCAACTGGTGAGCAATGCCTGTTCTAAACCAGCTTACAAAGATTATTCAAGATCTAATTATAAAAGTGACATATTTTAAAAACTGCATGCAGTCACAAAGCAACTACAGATGGATGGATGTTGAACTGCTGTAATGATGTGTCCTCGCATTATCCTAATTTATACCTTTGTCTATAGAAAATAACATGCTCATGTAGGATTCCTAAGAATTATTTTAAAGTGATTTCTTAATGGTAAAATTAATATTGAATAGGGCCTAGTTGCCAGTTAAAGGTTTGGAAGCATTTGATTTGTGTGTTTTTATGTATATTTGTGGTATTGGTAAGTAATAACCACAAGTAGCTTAGAAAATCAGTTATTTGGTGACCTGAAATAGGATGTTTATTAAATAATTTCCAATCTGGCCTATCAGTTTCAATGCCTGATGATTTAATTACAAGTCAATTCCAGTCAACCTTATGATTACAAGGTTTTTATGTTCTTTGAAAAACAAATCTAGTGTGTGTCCTAACTTGAGCTTGGTGCTTTGAAAACTTCCATTTAATCAACAAATTGATAAAAAAGAGGTATTAAAACATACTTAAATTATTCTATAACTACTACTGTATGGCTACAAAAAATCTTGAAATCTCGTTCAAAATTAGATTTTAAGGAAAAATTTTAGTTTTAGTTTTATAGAAGTGTAGTTTCCCCACTAAGTAAAAAGTAATTATACTGTTAACTATGTGATAGTAAGTTTACTTGGCTTTTTATTTATTTATTATGTGCATAGATGTGTGGTTACTTTTTTAAATAACTACAATAAACATGTTTTTATACTTTATTTAACGTTAAGTAACCAGCGGTTGATTTGTGTACAAAAGCTTAATAATTAGCAAAGGCGTGATCATCTACATACAAACCATACAAACAAACAAAACACCTTTGACGCTGACGCGACATGTTGACGTCAACCTAACTGTACACTGGTCGCGGGATTTGCGCGTCACACTGGGGCGCTAAGATGGCTTCAACGAGCTGGCTGCATGGCCCCAACATTACTCGTTTAACGGAAGGGCTGGTGTCCGTTTTAAAGGAGGAGAGACCTGAATTTCTACCCGCTCTTCTAGCAAACTACCGTGAGCATGCAGCGGTTGGGACTCAGGTAGGACGGAGGCTGTTTTTGTCTGCACTGGCAGTTCGCGACGCGAGGAACTGTGCGCTCCTTTCATTTAAATGAAAGCGACATTTGGTGGCGTCGCGTCGCACGCTTGCTTTGTAAACAAAGCCAGAGTAAATATAAAGCGTTGTATAGATATATATATTTTTATTAACTAATGTGGCCATTTGTTGAGTAAATAAGCTTTCGTCAAGTCTTTATTGTTAGTTTAGTGTATGTTTCATGTCTAGTCGTATCCTATTGTGCATCTTTCAGTTTACCTTGGAAAACAGACCTTCATTTGTTTGTATTGACTGAATTTTAGAGCTCTGGAGCTGTGGGTGGTCTGGTGGGCCTCAGTAATGCTCGACTTGGGTCCAGTAAAACCAGGTGAGCTGTCAAGAGTTTACTTTTGCACTCAGAATTGTGCACTCCCAGGTCATTTCTCTTGCATTTGCACAAACCGTTAAAAACATTCTTCTTGATCAAACCCTACTGAGACATTTAGTCTGCTGTTGACTTAAAAAAGCTAAGTGAAGTTTTTTAATCTTGAATTCAAATGAGGGAAAACCTAGACATTCACAGAGTTTTTTAGGATATGAAGTGTTATGTCATGCAAAATAAATTTGAGGACTTGAATAGTTTTTTAGAGGTTTAGTTCTAAGACCATAAGAACTATATAAGAACGCATAAGTGAACCTACTAAATGATTGGAAATAAGATGTAATGTCATAAGGCACTAAGATCTATTTTTCTGGCCTGTAATTATGACCCAAAATAATCCAGTAACTCTTTATTTTTTATCTTTGTGGCTATATACTTATAATCATTTATTATATACTATACTATGATTAGTATTACTATGATTAAAGTTAATCATGAACCTAACTTTAACCCACCTACAGTGATTTCTTATGTGGGTACACTTTAATACTCATCCAATGCTATATTTTTAATGTTGTCATACAACAAAATTAATCTGGAGAGACTTTTTTTTAAAAAACGTGAATGAGAAATGGTAGAATCTACATCAAAAGTAAATCTTTAGAAACTTTTTTTATCTTATGTATTTTTTTATTATTGGTGTCTTTTTATTGTTTAAAAAACGTATTATATAATGGTCATGTTATTTATGTTTTTCTCATGAAATTGTCATTGAAGCTGATATAGCAACAAACTTGAAACTCGTACAATTAAACTGCAAACAATACGTCTTTAAAAGTTGTTATTTAAAACTACTGTTACGTTCTGCCAAACACTGAAGTCTTTTAATTTCTTTACCATAATTTGAATGATTCACCTGTGCATGTTTTTTTTTTTTAATGAACAAGGCTCTATCGCAGATTCTTTCATGGTACTTTACTATACACTCATTTGCATGCGTTTTAGGTTTGAAGGCCTGTGTCTCCTGTCTGTGCTGGTAAAGGACAGTTCCAGTGAAGTGTTTCAGCAGCATTGCCTGTCATGGCTGCGAACACTACAGCAGATCATCCAGGTGAGAGATAACTTAAAACATTTGATTAGTTCTGGTTCTTATGCTTGCTCATTCCAGATATATATATATATATAGCAATTGGTGTTTTAGCTGTCCAAGGTGGATATGGCCTAAGGAGCCTATGTCTAAATTTTCTAGATTATTTAGAGGACTTGCTGTTACGTCAGGTTTTTGGCTGTTAACCACACTGGTAATAGTTGGATGTAAGCAAGAGCATTCATTGTATAGTTAATGTACTACCGAACACATTGTTCCATATTTAAGCTGTGTAAACCAGAAAAGAAATGTGGAATCTGCTAAATCATA